TCTATCACATATATCATAGCTCTGGATGCCTTGTAAAACACACCTTATGTGCCTTCTCAGCCTCCTATTGTAATTTTTAAATATATGCCACTTCTAAGAGACAGAAAATTGTTAGTGGCTTTAAATTTGTACTACTTGGTAAATTGACATTAAAAGTAAAGATGCAAGAAAATTTTTATGCAAGAAGTCAGAAAACTTCATTGGGATATCCATTAAACTTTGGAAATTAATCAAGAATTAAACAAGCATGTTTTTTTTCATAAAAAAAAGTACAGCTGAGAATGAACTAATCACTGATCAGTCTTAATAGTTTCCTTTTTCCTTTCCTTTCCTTTCCTTCATATATTCCAGGCTGGCCTCAACTTTGCTATATGATCTTGCTATCTATGTAGCCAAAGATGACCTTAAACTTCTCCTTTAGCTTCTCTCTCCCATATGCTGGAATTACAGATGGGTGCCACCACACTCACTTTATGCAGCACTGGGATCAAACCCAGGGTTTTATGCATGCTCATAAATACTTTACCAACTGAGCTACATCCCTAGTCCCTAGTTTTATTAGTTCTGACCAAGATTATTGCTTTCATTAATGTTTCTTACATATAATACTAAATAATAAACATTTATATTCATAAGAATACCACAAGCTCAATGATATTAGTGTTAGACTTATGTAGATGAGGACATTGAATATTAGAGCTGAGTAGTGACTATAATGGACTGTGGTCTCACATAGCAGGGGTGAGGATCTAGGCTCCATCCTGGATCCAACTGGAAGACATTCAAGCTCTTTTCTATGCTCAATGTTATCCCTTTGTGAAATGAAGATCTGATAATCACTATTAATATTTATAAGCACATAACAGAAATTGTAAATTTTTAAAGTATCTTGTAGACACATTTCAATCACAAAACATAGTTCATGAGAGAAAAGAACAACAGACTTATTTATTCTAAGTTTTCCATTACATGCATGTAAGCCTTCAGATTCAAAACCAAAGATTCAGGGGCAACTGTTTGATTTTTATGCTTAGGTTTGATGAAATAGAGATGGTCATGCAAGAAGGTGATTTAAAAAAAGGCTCTGAGTTAATGGACACAGCTCCCTCCATTTTAGCACCACCCCCATGATGGAACAAAATTCCTGTGGAATGAGGGTCTTAATTCTTCCTTCCTACTTTCCTTCCTTCCTTCCTTCCTTCCTTCCTTCCTTCCTTCCTTCCTTCCTTCCTTCCTTCCTTTTTCTCTCTCTCTCTTTCTTTCACAAGGTCTCCACTATGTAGTCCAGACTGGCCTAGGACTTGAGATTCTTCTGTATCAACCTCTTGATTGCTATGATTTATGCCTGATCAAAAGTCTTAATTTTTTTAAATAATATTTTTACTGATTCTTTGAGAGTTTCACACAATATACACTTGATCATTTCAGATTATCCCATCTCCTCTCTGATCCAACTGGACCTCCCTAGCTCCCCTACTTCATGCCCTCTATTTTTTTTAAAAGGCCTATCAAGTCTAACTTATGTTTCCAAAATATTCTTGGGTGTGGGTATATCCCCTGGAGTGTGGTCAATCTAACCAGCATCATACCCTTAATGAAAACTGTCTCTTCCTATCCCAGAATCTATCAATTGTTAGTAGTTCCTCAGGTAGGAGTGGAATTTTGTGCCCCCCTCCCACCCTCCATGCTGGAGGTCTTAATTTCTTTTCTTTTCATCTTTTTTTGACAAAGCCTTCCTGTAGGCCCAGCAGGCTTGGAACTCAGAGTAGTGAAGAACTTTATACAAATGCTGACATAATAAGTGATATTTAATTTATTTATTTAAATATTTTATTTATTATTTTTATTTTATGTGTATGTGTGTATTGCCTGCATGTCTGTAAGTACACCTGTGTCGTGCAATGCCCAAGGAAGACAAAAGAGGCTGTCGGATCCCCTGGAACTGGAGTTACGGACAGTTGTTAGCTGCCATGTGGGTGCTGGGATTTGAACCTGGGTCTTCTGCACGAACAGTCAATGTTCTTAACTGCTGAGCCATCTCTCCAGCCCCTATATTTTTAAATTTTTTTTTGGTCTTTTTTTTGAAACAGGGTCTCCCTGTAGCCCCAACTGTCCTGGAACTCACTATGTAGACCAGGCTGGCCTTGAACTCACAGAAATCCACCTTCCTCTGCCTTCCAAGTGCTAGGACTACAGGCATGTGTCACCACACTCGGCTATATTTTATTATTTTTATTTTATATATGAGTGTAATGCCTGCATGTAGGTCTGTGCAATTGTGTCATGCAATGTCTGAGGGGGTTAGAAGAGGGTGTCAGATACTCTGGAACTGGAGTTACCAATGGTGGTCAGCCACCATGTGGGTACTGGGAATTGAATTGGGATCCTCTCCAAGAGCAGTCAGTGCTCTTAACCACTGAGCTATCTCTCCAGCCCCATAAATGTTCTTCAAAATAAGACATTACCTTAATGAGGAACCAGCACTTTATTCCAAGTCTCTCATTTCTGGATAGGAGGAAGGCCCCCAAGAAGACAAGCCGATTACTGTGTTGAGATGCATTTGGGGCAAAGAGGGTGGGGTGTGCTGTACCAATTGGTAGAAAAATGAGTAGAGTTCACCAATCTTAAATAAATGCAACTACCCAAGACATTTTTTGGATCTAATTCTTGTTTGAAATGCATGAGACACCATCTCTTTTTAAACAATGAAATGTATTATGAAGTGAAGAGTATTTCTTGATATTGAATGATATCAACCTTACTTTTGTTTTTCAATTTCTTGCTGAGGATCAAACCAAGGGCCTCATGCATGGTAAGGCACACACTCCACCACTGAGCTACATTGCCAGTCAGCCCTTCAATCTCTAAAATCTCTGTTGATAAATATGATTAAAACATATCGTATGCATGTTTCTCAAAAACTTAATTATAAATTATATTTTAAAATCTGTTTATAGTACAAAAGAAGTTCTAATCTGAAGGTGTCATTATTATTCAGATATGTGGAAATCAACAGCTTGCTGAGATAAAAACAGAGTTAACCAGCCTGTTTTATGTTGTAACCTACCTCTGCTCTGAAGAAAAAAGAAAATGATATAAGCTTCTAAAAATGTAAAGAAGGCCAATCTCTGTTTAGGCAACAGTTAAATACTTCTAAGCAGTACTGTTGACAGCAATTCTGCCTGTGTATTCCCCTTTGAGAGTTCCAGATATTGACTAAAGTGAAGGTAATTAATAATTATTTAGTGAATAACAAGTAGGCTGGGGCTCCTTCAGAGTCTTGCAGTTTTGGTACCTTTACTGCTTAGGAAGGAAGAGGGAAACACATTAATTAAGTGAGTGACTGCTGGACAAAGGACTGAATGAAAAAACAAATAAGTAGCAACTATAGCTCTAGAACTGTAGTCTGTTAGAGACTAAGAAAATAAAGTTTTATACACATGCAACTAGGTACCTATCTTAAGGAATGTCTAGATGAGTTGGAGACGAAGAATGATTCTGTCTGTAGTGTACCTTACATGGTGTCTTCCACAAGGTAATGCAGGTTCAGGAACAGATCAGAGGAGGATAGTGCTTACAATAGTCCCTCTACAGGAGAGAGCAAGAAGTAAAAAATCCGGTGGGAGGGAGGCACATTTACCAAGCCAAGGGAATGTGGGGTGATGTGGGTTATACTGGTTAAGAAGACAGTTTATGAAACACGGAAAAACCAAACCCTGGTGCTTAGGATAAACTAAGAAATTTCTTAAGACCACTTTCCATTCCTTTTCCTTGGACATTAGGATGCATTTTCACAAAGAATTATCCCTTCCCTCCCTCCATCCCTCTCTTCCTCCCTAGATTGAATCTAGGACCTCCCACATGCTAAGCAAGTGCTCTACCACTGAGCTACATTCTGGCTGGCTCTTTTTACTTTTTATTTTGAGACAGGGTCTCACTAATTTGCCTAGGTTGTTCTTTGAACTCTTGATCCTCCTGACTCAGCCTCCTGAGTAGCTGTGGTGGCAGGCCTGTGACCCTGAGAGGCACTACTTAATATGTGTACCATCTAACCCAACTAAGGTCTTTTAGGCTTTGAAATGCAAACTGTGGACTTGCTTTCACATTAGCTTATTTATTCATTCCACCAAAGTTCGTGTAGGTCTCCTAGCGTGAGAATTTTGTTAAGCACTATGGGGGGTACAAAGAGAATAGAACTTGGTCCCGATCTCCCAGGAACTTACAGCTCAATAATGGAAACAAATGTGCACACATACAAGGCTTTATAAGAGGAGGTGAAAATGTGAACCACGTATTGGAGGAGCACAGTTCTCAGAGTACGTGAAGGTGGTGTAGAAAACTAAGGAATTTAGAAACAAGCTCGTTTTAAAAATCAACTTTAAAGCCATGAACTTTAAGGCAGCAGTCAGGACCAAAGCTCTGGAAATCCACAGGTGGAGTAAGAACAGCGGTTCGATAAGGCTAGAGAATCAGGCTCCTTGAGAGGGCAGCTTAGTGGGGGTTTTAGCTGTGTATAACCGAGGCTGGAACCAAGCAGAGGGAATCGGAGCTGAGTGAGACTTTGGTTCTCCTATTTATACTTGGACTTAATATCTATTAGGTTCCTTAAAAAAAAAAAAATCACCTCTTTCTTAGAGTCCTAGGGGTGGGGGAGGGCTCAACCCCCAAGTTAAAGGTTTGCAAAGTGGTCCCCGAATGACTTAGATCCCACACTTTAGGAACCAGAAAAGGAACGTCTCAGAGGCTAAGACGAGACCATTCGACAACAACAACTTCCCCCTCCCCCCCAAGGTACCAGCTGTTGGCCAGGCAGGCTATAGGCCAGACCTGAGGGCCAGTATAGCCCGGCGGGAGCTGGGATCCCTGAACTGGCGGGCAGGGGTTGAGGGAGAGACGGAGAGAGGGAGGGAGGGAGGGTGGAAGAGAGAAAGGGAGGGAGGGAGGAAGGGAAGCGCGAGAGGGAGGGAGGAAGAAAGAGAGGGAGGCGCGTCATGTGATCCGCTTCCCTGCTCCTTTAAGCGTCCACTGGCGGCGGAGCGGCCGCAGTCTCAGCTCCGGGCATCGGGGGATCCCGAGCGGCGGTGCCTGGGGATCCGCGCGGGCGCCTTTGGTCTGGGTCCCATCTTCTCTGGCCTCCCGCACCCTTGAAGTTTTGCAGCGCCCAGAAAGGAGAAGGAAGGAGAGAAGGGAAGGTTTTTAAAAAGCCCACTTTAAACATTTATTTAAAGGAGAAAAGAAGGTGGGAGCGCAAAAATGGCTGGGGCAATTATAGAAAACATGAGCACCAAGAAGCTCTGCATTGTTGGAGGGATTCTGCTGGTTTTCCAAATCGTCGCCTTTCTGGTGGGAGGCTTGATTGGTAAGTGCGAGAGCTGCAAACTTTCCCCCTTTCCCTCTCTTCGGGCCTCTTCCCTCTTGGACTACTTGTTACAGTATCACTGCCTTGCCTCTATGATCTAATTAGTCCGGCTATTGTGCTTAAGAAAGCAGAGCTCCATGGGGCTCCATGGGGCACAATCCAGTCTAGTGGCAAAGAGAAAAGGAGGGGAAAAGTTTTGGCCTAGTTTCAGTATCCACTTGAAAGGCAGGAGGGGGTGGGGGTGGATCTTAAGCATGGCGACGGATCCCGAGGAAAAGCTGGGTCGCTAAGTTGATTGCTCTCCCGGCTTTTTCCCGCCCCCCCCCTCGCCTTCCTCTCTGTTCCCTTCCAATCAGCCACTGAAGGGCAACGTGATCCACTTTATTAGGAATAACTGGAGAGTCGGGAACTGCGCCCAGCGCCAGCCCCGAGCTGTTAATCGGCTGTGGCTGTGGCGTGTGTAAATGCATTCGGTTGTCTAGGCTAGAGGCGAGAATTGGCTTTAGGGTCTCAACATTTACGCCCTCCACTCCCTCCACGCACCGCACCCACCTTTCCTGGTGGATTGATAGAAGCTGAAGATTCGAGGAAGGATGGAGTAGGGTGGTTTGAGAGAGTCTTGGCCCGCCCCGCGCGAACTTGGAGAGGGCAGCGGAAAGCCTGTCCGAAAGGTGGTGCTTTAGCCGCCTGCCCCTTCGGGCATCTCCCCTCCCCCTCTGCTTAGAGCCCCTAGAGCCTGAGAGCTGGGAGCCTGGGGGTCCTCCCCTGGCGCCAGGAGGGTGTTCTTGGCCCCGCCTGGCTGCCCTCAGGTGACAGCCCCCAAGCCCCGGGCGAAGGCGCCAGGGAAGACCTCCCCAGTGCGCACCCATCCGACCTCTTTAGTCCAAAGGGCTTCTCAGTAGAAGACTTTCTCCAGCAGTGTGCAGTCCGAAAAACCCACTTCCTCTCACAGTCTTCTTTATCTCACGTTCCTCCCCCTCAAGAATCCGGACATCCCGGCACAAACTTCAGCACTAACTTCAGAGCGTGCGCCGCTGGCGGCACAGCTTCCTCGCCCGCTGGATGTGGCTCTTGGCCGCGTGGAGGAGCGCAGGCGGAGGTCTGAGTCCCTTTTGGGCGTCCGGAGCCGAGCCGGATCGCTGCGAGGGCTGGGGCTCCTCCAGCCACGGGCGATGCGGTCTGCCTCCAGACCCTGGTTTGATGGGCACACATTCCAGAGAGTACATCGTGGCTAAGTGTTTTAAACAAAGGAGAGTGGGTGAAGCTTCATCAAGAAGGGGAATTCCTGGAGGAGGTCGCGTGCAAGTATCCACAAAGCGAGTTTTTTAAGCTCTTGTTCTTGGTGCGGCCAAACAGTTTCATTTCTTTATTTCTAAAAAACCTTGCTTTTCCACAGGCGTTCGCGCAAACACACACACACACACACACACACACACACACACACGAGACAGACACACAGCCACACACACATACATACACAGAGAGACACACACACACAGACACACACACACACACAGACACACACACACACACACACACACACAGAGCTTTGGCTTTTGTTTCTTTACGCCATGTAGAATCTCTGTATTGGATTTTCCAGGCTCTTAATACTTCTCTGCTGGGAGCTGTAGGCAGTCGCGGTCTCAGAGCGCTCACAGTGATTATACCGCGGTTACAATTACACCTCTTGTTTCCCTTGATGAGCACTTGCAGCTAGACGCCATTGGATCTTGTGTGATTTCAGTGGCCGACCATAATAAAATTTTTTTGCACCTTGTGCTTTCAGAATTAAATTGGCCTATTATCCTTGTCTGACCTTCTTCTTTGAGGTTTTTGCACGGTGAGCCATTACAGTTTCCTACTCTCTCTCTCACCCTCCCCTCCTCTTCCTCTGTCCTCTTCCTCTCCCTCCCTCCCTCCCCCTCCTCCCTACCCCCTTTCTTCCCCCTGTTCCTGTCCCTGTCCCTGTAGAGCTGATCTAGGCCCACAGTACTCTTTATCCATATTGTAGGTTTCCCAGGGCACTTCTGGAATAAGCACACTTTCTGGAATCCCACTGTTGCACAGAGAAGATCCAAGGGCGCCTGTGAGTGGCCACTGGACATTAAAATTACTACAGTTAGAACAGTTGTTTGTTCAATCAGTGGTGCTCTGAATAAGTAGTGCCAATGGTAGAGACCACAGGAGGTCCTGTCTAAACAGATTCCCCTCAATTAACAAACTGTTTTAGTTCTTCAGAAAAGAAAAATATCGATGTGGTACACAGCATTTAGGGGAAATTTTTGCATAACTTCATTGTTTTACTTTCCTTGTCTTCTGGCTGCAAAGATTGTGTCCTCAGTGCTGATCCCAATACTGAACAGATTGGATGCAGCCCACACTGAATCGTGTTTTAGCTTTCACCTCTTTAAGCACTTGGAGACCCACCTAGTTTTCCATAATTGGAAAGTAGATGAAACTGCTCGACAAAGTGGACCAGTAGAATTGGTGCTTGAAAGAACAGTTTGTAGGCTAGGAAGTCAAGGAAAAGACCAGAAACCTCCTTTGCTCTCCCAGGTGAGAGCAGAATTCTACTGCTCAATGCCACTGTTACTTGTGTAGCCAGATGTCCTGGTGTTAAAGTATCTTCCTAAAGTAACTGCATCCATTCTAGTGAGGAACTAGACCACAATATATGTCACTTTTGAGTCATTGTTTTCCCAAATGAGAGGAAACATGGCAACTCAGAAAAAGAGAATCTGAATGGCAAACTCTTGATTAGAAATACCTAACACTCACAACACTTAAGTACCCATCCCTCAAACAGCCATAGCAAACTATGAACCTCAAAGTGAACATGCAAGTCAGTTAACCAATAGGTTTGTCTCCTTAGTGGTAGATAAATTAATATCCTTTTCAGTTCTAATTGTATAACTCTTTTAATACTCAGAGTTTTATATGACATTTAGACAGATATTTGGTTGTGACCTTGTAAAATTAAGGGGAAATTTTAAATATTAGCTGTAAAAGTGAATAGAAGGATTGAGTTTTGATTTAGCCAGCTCAAATTCTGCCATATTCCAAAGGCCTTCCTACCTAGTTTGTGTGTTTGCTTGCAGGCTATCTTTGTGTGGTTTTCTCGTGCCAGTATCTATGAACTGCTAAACTTTTGATGAGATTTTGCAAAGAGGCTCTGAAAGGAATATCTTACATGGTAGAATTTGGGGGAATTTAAGAATTTTTAAATGATTTTTGTTTGTGAAAAAACTTTGAGATACAATAAAATTAGGCATCTGATTTTTTTGGTATACGTTCAGAAAGCTTACTAAGTGATCAGCTTCTTTAATGTTTAGAATTCATTTAAAATTTAAGAATCCTGAAAGGAAAACAAGATGTTTTTGAAAGGTATAGCTTAATCTTCTCCTGAAAAACAAGCTTGCAGAAAAAAATTTTAAAATAATGTTCCTTTGGTTTCATTGTTGGTGAATTTAGTTCATGGAGAAGCAGCTGTAGGGGTGGCAGAGGGGGTGGGAAGGAAGACCATGTGTCATGAAACAGGAGGACAGCCGACTAAAAATCATGAATTTGAGTCCCTGACCCATCATGTTCAATCTGCTCAGCTTCAAATTCATTGTTTCTGGGGATATGATGGCTGAAGAATCAGGTTTTTCTTCCACTTGTTCTAAATCTGTGAAGAGAGCAAAGATCACAACTGGGTGGAATGAATAATCGTTGCATTGTTTTAAGCAAATCCATAAATGAGAATATTTCAGACTTAAACTGCAAGTAAATGTCAACAAATCACCAGTTATTATTATTATTTTTTTAGGAAAGATCATTGTTTTCATTAAAAGTCACATGAGTGTCCTTTTTTAAAGTGCTGATGATTTAATATATACATGACATACATGCATTTGTCTAATGAATTTTCTTAAATAATATTTGGATCCATCCACTCCTGTCAATAATGCAACACATTTTATTATGTTGTTATTAATTGGAAACTGTTGATGGTTTTGATTGTGGTCCATTCATAGGAGCATTTTTCTGCCACTGTTGTTCATTTAAAAGTTGCAGAAATTTAACAAACTGAATGAAATTATAGTTAGTACAGAGTACACACTTATTCTTAGTTATTAGATTTTAAATTTGCTATATGTCTTACATTTTAACATGTATTAATGTTGCAATAGCATCTGAGTATTTGGTGAGAATCTTGTTTTGTTTTTTTTGTTTTGTTTTGAGACAGGGTCTTTTGTAGCTCAAGTTGGTCTTGAACTCACTGTATAGCTGGGAGTAATCTGGATGGAACTCCTTATCCTCCTGCCTCTTCGTCCCAAATTCTGAAATTATAAACATGTCCCACCACATCAGGTTATATCTGGTGAGAATCTTGAAAAGTACTAATTAATTGATTTTTGGCTTATACTACTCATATTTTACTGTATTTGACTATTTTTTTAATTTTTGTAATTGCGTATCTGATCACACTATTCTTTTTCTTTGTTACTTCCCAGAGATATAAACTGTGATTGTCAGAGACTTATGCAATCTCATGAGTTCTTTTAATCAATTTTTTTGTAACTGAAATAGCATTATTTGACTTTTCAAAAACTAAACCTCTTTACTATTGCAATGGAATCATGCTTGTGCTAATAGTCTCTCATCTGACTTCCTCATTGTCATCTGTCTCACTTTCTAGCACAATTTTTCTTTTCTTTAGTAAAAAGTGAGAAGTAGTTCCTTGAGGTAATTTATGGATAGTTTTGTGAGGTTTCCAAACCCCTTGCGTAGAACTCAGCTCTAGACTTAAGTCCTGTACTAACTAGTTGAATTTTTACTATAATATTTTACAATAATCTGGCCTATAAATGAAGTTGAACATGTGTTGAATGTATACTGTGCCAGTTGTTGTTTGATTCTATTCACAAAACTTTTTCATTGGCATTTAAAATTTTTGTGTTTATTTATGTGTGTGGGCATATGCATACCATATCATTAGTGTGAAGATCAGAGGACAA